TCCAACTCACCCTCTGAGTTCAACATCTTCTTGGACAAAGCTTGCCCCGATTCTCGGGAGCGAGGTACCATCATCTATGTCGACGATATTCTGATTCATAAACATACTTTGGATGACCACCTGTCCGAGCTGGACCACGTCATTGAATCAGCTCACAGCACCAGGTGCAAAAATTTCCCTCACTAAAGGTAAGTGGTGCAAGTTTGAATTACAGTTTGTTTGCCTCCTAGTGGGACCACAGGGAGTTCAGCCTCAAGATGGTAGAGTCCAGTACGTTGCCACAATCGAAGCTCCAACAAACGTCTCTAAACTTTGAAGTTTTCTCGGTGTGTGAAACTACTCTCACCAGTTCATAGAGAACTACGCTGAGATGGCAAGACCTCTGACTACATTGCCGAAAAGGGATGTGCCTTTTGAGTGGACTAAGCAGCAGCAGCAGGCCATGGATGACTTAACGGCCGCGTTATGCTCAGATCATGCCTGGCGCTTCCTGATTGTGATAAGGAGTTCCACCTTGAGGTTGGGTTCTCAACCCACTGCTTGCGTTCCGGTCTCTATCAGGTGTATGACTGTGATAGGCCTATGCTAGTAAGAACTTGTCCGGTCTGGAGTTAAAATACTCTGACTGTGAAAAAGTATTGATATCCACCATGTGGGTAGTTTTCGAACTACATTGGTGGACAGAAAATTATTGTTGAAACGCAACATCAACCAGTGACCTTCCTAAAGAGTCAACGCATCAGATGGTGTGGTGATCAACACACTGAGTTGTTGACACTGCGTCATTTTAATGATATTATTTTTATATGAGATTATATTATATTACCGTAAATCCTCTAATATTAGCCTGTATTCAATTAACATCCGGGTATCACATTTTGGCCGGTGTCGGAGTCGGCGGAGGTGAATAATGGCCGGTTTTTTATTGTGGCCAGGTGGAATGTGGTAACAAGCAAGTACGGGGGGCGGTTGTGTCATCCGTCTCACTTTTGATTTGCCGGCATTGATAGACTGCGAGGGTAACTTTAACCGTGCGGAGACGAAGAGGAGGCGAAAATTTGATATCAAGTTCAAAGAGAACGTGCTGATTATGCTGCAGAACACTCTGGAGCCACAAGCACTCAGGAAGACCAAGGCACCACGCTCCACACCAAATGTGGCAGGGGGGCGGCAGGCGAAGATAAGTAGCTGCACAAGAAGTCCCAGGAGAGGGGAGGAGTAGGGGAGGAGTCCAAGACCCCACTTGACATATACAGTCATACACAGACACAGTCACACTCCCTCCCTCATGCTCACACATACACATACAATCCAATGAGAGCCAATTGGGAGCCTAAGTCACTTCAGCATCATGGGTTCCCGGAAGAACGAAAAAATGAACGCAAGTCAACGGGGCTAAAAACGCTATTTTCTAATCCTCTTTGCGTTACGCCTTGGATCACATATATGTTGTACAGCAATTTTATGAAAAGTAATGATGGGTGTTTCGACCACGCCAGTCATGTACTTTGAGATCTATTAGCTTGTAAAAGTTCATAATTAGCATGACTACAAACTAGAAATCGACACATCGCATATGTGATGTCACCACATAATCTCCTCTCCCCAAAGTAGCTGCTACTTTCCAGATGACCAGATTTATGGTGGTTCTTTCATCCTGTGGGAAGTTTGCTCAACTTACAGCCATTTTCCCACAGTTTTCTCCGTGTCTGGTATGATGACGTCACTTTCGTGAAGCACATTTGTAGTCCTGGACTTTTTTTTCACACAAGACCAAAAATAGCACCCCCCCCCCCCCCCCCCCCCCCACCCCGGTTCGAAAACAAGCGCGTTCTTGTTATCAAAATGTGTCTTTAAAATTCACGGACATCATGTGTGAAATCCATGGCACATAACAAGCAGAATTAGAAAATAGCATTTTTAGCCCCGTTGACTTGAGTTAATGTTTTCGTTCTTCTGGGGACCCGTGGTGCTCTAGTGACTTTGGCTCCCTATACTGCTGATGGTGTTAAACAGCACCTTGGAATTCCCTTAGCTCTGGAACACCAGGTTGGAGAATAGACAACCCTTGCCTCTCTGACTGCAGAGTTAAAGGATGTCAGAAGGTTCTTTAGATAAGTGTTTCTCAATATCCTTGGTATGTTCTTGCTGTGTTTAGTCGCATAACTGTATTTTTTGGTTCTTTTTTAAAACACAGAAAAGGTTTCTTTTTTACCTTTCTGACAGTTTCGTTTACTGGCTGTAAACTTCCTCAGAGCTGATGCTGATGGTGGCATCACTTCCTTCCCCGTTTATATGTGGGCAGCAGAGCACGTTGTCGCCCCATGCACGATCCAATGTGTAAACCCAATCGTCTCTGTTCATGGTCCCGTATCCACATCTCTTTATCTCTATAGCTTCCTTTATCCATCTTTTGTATTTCTGTTGTTCGGTGTTTATGATCCTTGTGTTGTCCCAGTCCGTTATATGGTTTTCTCTTGTGCAGTGATCTGTTACGGCTGACTTCTTCATTGTACTATCTGCTTCTTGTTTTACTGCTCTTGTGTGTCTTCGACTTGTTTCTCTCTCGCACTCCTTTCTAATTTCTATTCGCGTGTTGAGATGAGTGAGAAGTCAGTGCATTCATTTAAGTCAGGAGTGTGGCAGCAGAGAAACAATGCCGTTGCAAACTGCAACATAGAAAACATGCAGGACAGGGGGGCACTGAGGATCAGGATTGGGAAACACTGTTTTAGATGCAGCAGATGGACGTGGAGACTAGTTTTCTTCCAGAAGCGCACAATTTTTCTACATTGGCACTTCAGGCTGTGAATGCTGTCTTTAAACCAGGGAGTAGAGTTCACTGCAGGAACTGTCTGGTTCTGACACAACGGATGTTGTCCAGAATGGAGAGACAGTGCTTTTTAATGTGAGAAGTTAAGAAATCTGGACCATTATCAGAACAGGGTGGATTAGCACAAAATTTGCCAACTGTGCTCTCATTAAGGAAACAAGAACTAACCAAACGACAAGCAGAAGGTGGGGCCGCAGAAACTGACAAGTTAAAAAAATGCAGCAGTGATCTGAAATATAAACGTCCTCAGGACAAACACTGTGAGCATTTAAACCAGCTGTAAAAACAAGGTCCAGAGTGTGCCCCCTGGTGTGTGTGGGGCCAGAAACATGCTGGGTAAAACGAAGGAGTCCATGAGGCTGGAGAAGCTCATAGCAAAGTGGTCTGAGGCATCATCAATGGAATTTTAAATTCACCAACAATCACCAGTCGGGACAGCTTCACAGTGGATGATAGAAAGTCACTAAACTCCTGAAGGAAAGAACTGTTTGGACCAGGTGAACGATAAACCACAGCACAGTAGATCGGGTCCTCATGCCGACTTTAATCAGCTGCAGTTCAAAGGACGCAAAGGGACCAGAGGTTGTAGAGCTACATGGAAGATGGTCTCTAAAAACAAAAGCTAGAACTCCACCATGACCAGAACCCCGGGGCTGGCTAAGGAAAGAATAACCACTTGGGTAGAGTTCAATCAGACCAGAATAATCAGAGGTTTGCTGCCAAGAGGTATGGACTGGCCTATCTGGCATCCTGGCACCGTCAAGCTTACCCAGCTTGGCCTGATGCCTCCACCTCCTGCTCTCGCATTTGGCGGAACAGAGACAAGTCCGCGAGCAGCACCCCCCCCCCCCCCCACACACACACACACACACACACACACGCACACGCACACCCCACACTCTTTTTATGTTCATTAAAATGCCAGGGTTGAATTGTCGTCCCAGTCCACCCCTGGCTGCAGATGGAATCACTGAGGATCGTTCAACTATTCTGTGCACTTTACGCAAGGAGAAACTGTATGTGATGATGTGTTATTTAAGAGTTGTTTGAGACATCCATGTTGCTACTCTTCAGAGAATATACAAGTTGCCAAGTGTCCCATTAATGATGCACAGTGACTTCATCTGCAGCAAGAGGATGTTGGTCTTTGGTGCTGGTCTGTGGGTTGACTCTGACTGTTCTCAAAGTTTGCAAACTTCAACTGACGGAAAATTTGGAGTCTTGTCTTTCATCTCTAAATGTACAAAGAGACTAATTCTGGACTAATTCAAACTGCTGACAGTCATTAATAGTGTTGCTGTGTAAATTGCTAAGAACAAACCAAAATATTGTTTATGTTTATGTATTTAGCAGACACGTTTGTCCAAAGCGACTTACAAGTGAGTAGTATATCTCATTTACATCAAACAAATCGAAAACAAACTGGATATGATTCAAGATGTATCATTTGTGGAATCTGACCTCCTTCTATCAGGTAAAATCACAAATCACAGATGGTTTTGGTTAGAAGGATGCTTCAGTCCTTACATTTTCTTTGTGAGACATTGAAGCTCCTCTTTCACTCGTCCATCTTTAGCGCTAAGCTTAAAGACAATACCGAGATCCTGTTAGCTAGAGCATTTGATCTTTAACCTGAGACTCTTTAATGCCCTGTCTCTCTGTGGAGGTGGAAAAGCAACATGCTGGCTGAATGAAAAGTAACTTTTTATGGGCTTCTGTGATGAACTTTTATCTGGTTTTCATCCCTCTAAACTCTGACCTCCCATGTTGTTCAGACTGTTTTACTGTGAGCTGTTATGAGTCAGAGCGTCTGCTGAAGACACCAAGTGGGACTTTTAATGGGTCTGCAACAATGGAAGCTTGCTGAACAAGAAGTCCACTCAGTAACTTAAAAACTCTGCAGCTGTCTGATTCTGATTCTGATTCTTTGTTTTGTGGATTTTTGTTAAGGGTGAGCAACATTCCTTGCATGACAGGGCGTCCCTTTCCTCCTCCTTTCTGCATCACCCTAAACACTGAAGCCAGGCTGTAACACCAAGGGTGCTTGGCTGCCTCTGCCGGTATTTAAAAATACGCTTCAACTTCCTTACTCGTGCAACTAAACTCATCTGCAGGACAGTCCAAGCTCAGCACCACTGTGGTGAAAAATCACAATTCAAAAACTCACCTGTGCATGGTGGAGTTTCATCCTCAGGGGTCACAGCAGGGGTCATGGTGACCCTCTGCTTTTTACATCCAAGAGGACTGAATTTGCTCCCTCTGTTGCTCTGAAACACAAGCTGGCCACTTAAATACAGCCAAGACAGGGGAAGAGAGAGAGAGAAGAGAAAGCGTCAGCACCACAACACAACACAGCGATTAGAGAGCAGGAAAGGGGAGGGGAAGGAGGGAGAGAGACAGGAACAAAATTAAGAGACTGAGTGAGAGAGAGAGAGAGAGAGAGAGAGAGAGAGAGAGAGAGAGAGAGAGAGAGAGAGAGAGAGAGAGAGAGAGAGAGAGGTTTTAAATCCATATGAGCTCTCTCAGCTCTTTGAAAAGTCTGATCCTCTCTGGAAGAAAAGTCTCAGCTCATCCGTTTGAATCAATCTGGAGAACTCCCGTAAACATGTTCAGCGTTCCCCATCGTTCTGTTTGAAACTTGTCCCAAACATCACCGGGTTTTTACTGGTCTGTAAAGAGAACCCTGACGAACACGCCTCATGAAAACAAAACCTCTGTCCTCTCCTCACTGTTCCATAAAGCAACAGCACTGGGCAAGCTGAAACCATTCATGTAGGTTTTTGACAGAATTGGACTTTAAGTCATTGTTTTGCATTGTGACACCTCCTATACACACACATGGAATGACATTTTCCAGTAGAATTCCAGATTATAACTGAGAGGTTCTTTTTCCAACCATGATGGCTCTCTGTCACAACCCATTCTCATCAAAACAAGTCCAAACAGGACGCCTCCAGCACATCGTTTGAAACACTTGGGCTGGAATGCACCAGTCAGATGTCAGTCACACATATATACAATATATATATATACATATATCATTCTGTTTCATGATTAGCAACAGCTGCGATGTTTTGACCACAAAGTTGTTCATTTTTTCCAACAACACACTCCTCGTGTTTTCACTCTTTCTTTCTTGTGCTTACTCCTCATCTATATTCCCGTTTGGATGCCATCTCTCCACCTCCATGGATCCACCTGCCTGTTGGTGCATTTATTTCACCACTGGTTGGTCACTTCAGTCCAATTCAGTTTATTTATAAAGCGCCAAATCATGTCAAGAGTCATCTCAAACACTTCACACAGTAAACATTCCAATACAGGTCAGTTCATTAAGCCAATCAGTAAAAGGTTTCCTATATGAGGAACCCAGCAGGTTGCATCAAGTCACTGACTAGTGTCAGAGTCTTTACAGCAATCCTCATACTAAGCAAGCATGCAGCGACAGTGGAGAGGAAAACTCTATTTTAACAGGAAGAAACCTCCAGAGAATCCTGGCTCAGTATAAACAGCCATCCACCACGACTCACTGGGGATTGAGAAGACAGAGCACACACGCACACACACACACACACACACACACACACACACACACACACACACGCACACGCACACACACACACACACACTAAGTAGTGTGTCTATGGTTACATTGAGATTTCTTGGTAAATATTCTATTTGGTGAGAGATAAACTTTATTGTATTTATCCTAGTGGATCTATAATTAAACGGGTAAACTAGTAGTAGCACATCCAATGTCAAAGAGAGTAAAATGTTATTATCAGGAGAGGGAGAAAGTTTAAGTGGTTAGCAGCAGTGTGCTAGACGATGGCCCCCTCCATGAGGCCACCACCGCTCAGCAGAACATCATTGTAGCTTCTTCTGGGGAGAAAAACACTTAGAGAGAAAATAAAGTTAACAGCTGAAATTGCAGAAAATAATGAAATTAAGAGAGAAATTGCAGATGAAAGTAGTCGAGTGTGGAAAGTGGTCAGTGTGTCCTCCAGCAGTCTAAGCCTATAGCAGCATTACTACAGAGATAACTCTGGATAACCTAGCCTTTTAGATGGAGGCATGTTCCACGGTGCCTTACTTTGTTCTTGGAGGCTAATTTAATGCTGTTTAGGTCAGGTGATTGACTAAGCAGTTTCCTTTTCTGAAGGTCAGATGCTGCTGCTGTCAATCATCGTGGGAACATTCAGAGTGATGGATAACTCATCTCTGATTTCCTCACCTCTTGAAGAATGAAGATTGAAGATTATTTTTTAGAAAACTCAGAGGTTTCAACTAATAAATGACCAAAAAAACTACCAATACACACCGTAGCCAAGTGTTTTCAAGCTACCCAGTCAAGATGGCGCCAGTGTTGCCGGCTTGGCATCTGTCAGCTCCTCTACTTTTTGTATTTTTGTTGTTTTTGGCCTACGTGTTACCCGCTCACCCGAGATTGGTGTATGATCGTCATACGCTATTTAAAATAGGCTTTTCGGTTGGATTTTTACCGTCTGAAGCTGTTGAGCACCGGAATATTTTCTCCCCCCTCTACCTGGATGGCCTTTCGGCGTGCTGGGAAACACAGCTGTTTACGCACTCTGCTAGGAGGAAACGTAGGAGGAGAGGCTGTTGGGGTGGACGGCTCGTCAAGCTGAAAGCATTGAAGCTTGCCTTTTCTGGCGGTTTGCGAGTGGTCTTGTGTTCGTCCACTCGGTTCCTGGCGCCGTGGCGTGTGGTGGATCTGGTGGATCCGGTGGATCCGTGGCTCGTTCCTGTTGCCGACTGTTCATGGGAGTTTGGTAAGCGCTCCCCACCCTTTCGCAGATTCAGTCGGAGACGAGCTAATCTGAGGAATCTGCGATCATTGACTAGAGCTTCTTCCACCATCAGCAGCTCTGAAGTATCCTTAAGGTGGGGCATGGTCAATGCTAGGTCTGTGGCTAACAAAACATTCATTGTGAATGAATTTTTTACAACGCATGTTCTCGACATCCTCTGTGTGACGGAGGCATGGATGATTTTGCTGTTTTTAATGAACTGATCCCAGCTGACTGTGCTTTTATTAACATGCCGAGGACCACTAAACATGACGGTGGATTGGTGGTTATTTATAAAGCTAATCTGAAGATGAAACACTTGCAGTCCTGGTCTCCTAATAGCAGTTTTGAACTGTGCTTATTCGACCTTGGTCATCCTTTACTAGTCCTCTGTGCTGTAGTATGTAGACCCCCGAAATACAATAAGCATTTTTTGCCAGAGTTTTCAGAAGTCCTAGCAACCCGGGCTCCAAGATACGAGTGGATATTGCTACTGGGGGACTTTAATATTCATATCTGCTGTCCTGGAAAACCTTTAGTCTCAGATTTCATCAACCTTGTGAACTCTTTGACTTTTACGCAGTGGGTTAATGTGGCCTCACACTGGATCTTGTGTTATCACTAGGGTGTTCAGTAGATAATCTGACTATTAAGGATGCAGTTTTCTCAGACCATAATCCCATATTATTTGAGACTACTCTGCATAGTAATTTGCTGGCACCTGTTGCCCCCAGTAGGTATAGTCGTCATGTTAACTCTGACACTGCAATTCATTTCACTTCGCTGTTTGACCATGCCTTCTTTGATTTATCAGACGAGTCCTCACTGGATGGATTGCTTACTTGTTTTACTGAGACCTGTGAGGCTATCTTTAACACTGTTGTGCCGTTAAGGCCCAGGAGGGGAAAGCGTATGGTAAATTTATGGTCGACGGACTCTACTCAAGCCGCACGAAGGACATGTAGAAGATGCGAGAGACAGTGGAAGAAGAATAATCTGCATGTTTCCCTAACTGCTCTACGTGACAGTTGGAAATCTCACCAAGAGGCTGTTAGATCTGCGAAATTTGCGTATTATTCCAATCTCATTTCTTTAAACTCAAACAACCCCAGAGTACTGTATACAGCAATTAACTCAGTTCTGAAATTAAATGATCATCATGTGGTGCAGGCTTCAGCTAAAATGTGTGATGAGTTCCGTGACTCTTTTATGGGGAAAGTTGCTGCGCTCCGGGCTACCATGTCTAGGGCACCGGTATGTGGCCGTTCTGTTACTGCCATCAGAGGTTTGGTAGCATTTCAACCAATTAGTCTTGATGACTTGATCAAGATCGCTGGGAAGGCTAAGGCGAGCGGCTCGCCAGATGAAGTGATGCCAATGCGCCTCTTTAAAGAATTCTTTCCAGTAGTCCCCCCTTTAATACTGCACATAATTAACATGAGTCTCAGTTCTGGTATAATCCCTGACGATTTCAAAGAGGCGGTTGTTCAACCTTTGCTCAAAAATCCTGGACTGGATGCTTTGCTGGCTGCAAACTACAGGCCCATTTCTAAACTTCCATTCTTATGTAAGGTACTAGAGAAATGTGTTTACCACCAGCTCTTGGTTTTTATAGATGAGAATGCCATTTTTAAGACTGTCCAGACTGGCTTTAGAGCTTTACACAGCATGGAGACTGCACTGGTTAGAGTGCTCAATGACATTTATCTAGCGACTGATAACGGTAATTCTGTGTTGTTACTTCTGCTGGACCTCACGGCTGCCTTTGACACGATTGATCAAGAAGTGCTGCTTCACCGTCTACATCAATATGTCGGGATTTCAGGGTTAGCCCTGGATTGGTTCAGATCATACCTGACAAATGTGTGTAGGGATGGAAAGTTATTCCTCTGAGCACTCTGATCTACCCTGGGGGGTACCACAGGGCTCAATATTGGGACCTCTGTTGTTTTCTGTTTACATTCTGCCCTTAGGTGACATCTGTCGTGAGCTTGGAGTTCACTTCCACCTTTATGCTGACGATTGTCACTTGTACCTGCCTCTGAACACGTCAAGTGGTCTCTCTATTTCTATTCTTACGAACGGTGTGAGGGAGATCAAGACCTGGATGAGTGAAAAATTTTTGAGCCTAAATGATCACAAAACAGAGGCTATATTGTTTGCTCCAAGCAGACATTGTGACTCTTCCCTAACTGACTGTGGGCCATTTAATGGCCAGCTGACTACATCGGTGACTAATCTTGGTGTTAAACTGGATAGTGCCCTTACAGTAGTTTTGATACCCACATCAACGGAGTGATCTCCTCCTTTTTCCACCTTCATCAGTTGGCAAAGATCAAACCTTGTTTGTCACGTCATGATCTTGAGACGGTAGTCCATGCTTTTATTATTGGACTCCTGCAACTCTGTTTTATTCGGTGTGAGCAAGGGCTCAATAGCCAGGTTGCAAATGGTGCAGAATGCTGCTGCCAGATTTTTAGAGGGCAGGCGCAAGTATAACCACATTACCCCTGTCCTGGCTGCGCTTCATTGGCTGCCCATTGATGTAAGGATTTGTTTTAAAATACTCTTATTGGTTTTTGAAACGTTA